CCGCCTTTTCACCCTTCGGTTTTTGACTTCCAGATTCACCATCCGGAAGAAAACCATCATCAGCTTCTGCCGATCCCCTGGAAAAAGGGGGATCGTCCCTACCCAAGGGTCCCTATGCCGGAAAAATGGCAAGTGATCCCCAGGTCAAGTGATCAAAAGATGAACTGATCCAAAGATCAAATGCCAGTAACCATTTCACCGGTACCCCAGGTCACCGGGACCCCAGAATTAATTTTACTTGGTTTATAAACAATATCATAATCATATTCATTGAGTCTGATGCGCCATCTCATAATTTTTGATGTTGGATCTTTAGTGCTGTGTAACCACACAAGAGGATGATGATCCGTTACCAAAGTAAAATGTTGTCCATATAAATATGGTCGAAAATGTTCCACTGCAAAGAGAATTGCCAACATCTCCTTCTCTATAGTAGAATAATGAATTTCAGATTGACTGAGAGTTCGAGATGCATAGGATACAGGGAGATCACTACCAATAAGACCTTGACTCAGAACGGCTCCAAGGGCAAAATTGGAGGCATCAGTAGTCACCAAAAAAGGTTGTGAAAAATTAGGGAATTGAAGCAATGGTTCAGAGGATATGATATCACGCAATGTCTTAAAAGCAACGTGTTCTTTTTCACTCCAAATAAAAGGTGCATCCTTTTTTAAAAGATGAGTAAGTGATTTAGCAATCTTGACTATATCTGGAATGAAACGTCTGTAATAACCGACTAGACCTAAAAATTGCTTTACATTCTTTTTTGTTTTAGGAATTGGAAACTGTTTAACTACTCTAACCTTTTCCGGATCTGGCTTGACTCCATTGATCGAAATACAATGCCCTAGATATATTATTTCTTTACGGAGAAAATGACATTTGCCTGGTTGCAAAGTAAGTCCAGCATTTTGTAATCGAGAAAACAGAGTTGTTAATTTCCGTGAATGGTCATTTAAAGAGTCAGCATAAATAACTATATCATCCATATAGACAAAAAGATCAACTCCTTGAAGTCCAGACAATACTAAATCCATACATCGCTGAAAAGTCGCGGGAGCATTTTTCAAACCAAAAGGCATTCGGTTAAATTCAAAATGACCATGAGGTGTAGAAAAAGCAGTTTTTACCTTTGAATTTTTATCTACAGGAATTTGATGAAATCCTGACGCTAAATCAAGTGTGCTAAAATATTGTGAGCCTCCTAACTGATCTAATATATCCATTATATTTGGAAGAGGGTAAGCATCATTAACAGTTTTTTCATTTAATTTTCTATAATCAATTACCATTCTCCAACGTTTTTCTCCAGAGGCATCAGATTTTTTCGGAACTATCCAAACTGGAGAATTGTATGGGGAATCGGATTCTTGTATAATTTTATTTTCAAGAAGAGAATTGACCTGTTTTTGAATTTCGGCTTTATGAATTTGAGGAAACCTATATTGCTTAGTCTTAATCGGAATTTCATCTGTTGTATTTATAATGTGAGAAACTGAACGAATAGAACCTAATTTATCAGTTGATAAATGAAATTGAAACGGAAATTTATTTAATATTTCTAAAATACTAGCTTTTTCAATATCATTCAAATGATTTAGATCAAGAGCTTTAATTAATTCGGAAAGTCTAGAAGCATCTGCCTGAGCATTTCCCAAATTAGGATTTCCAGTTCGTGCTGAACGGGGTGCTGGATTTTTAATTTCAAAATCCTCTAATTCAACCTCAGGAATTATAAGAGGTACAGATTCTTCGATTGTATTTATAACATACACTTTAGCAAAACCATTCTTTTGAGTAACTAAAACTTCACCGAGATAGACTCCAGGTGGAGTGTCTAATTTCTTAATATATCCACTTTTAAGAGAAGACTCTTTAATTGGGACAGTTACTAGAACTTTGGACCTTGGTGGTACAATAACAGAAGAAGTTCGTTCAAGTGGAATTTCAACATCTCCAATTTTGAAAATATTAGGTAAGTTCCTTCGAAATTTAACAGTTACATTTTGTGCTTCTAGAAATGGTATACCTAATATTCCGGTTTGTTTTATAGGAAAACTATCACTTATAATTTGGAATTTATTATTTACATTCTGAATAGGAATGATAACCTCTCCCTGAGTTAACACGGATCCAATTTCAATTCCACTAAGATCACAGAAGATACTATTGTCTATAGGAATATGCTTTAGAACTCCTTCTCTTTTAATAAGATTCACTTGACAACCAGAATCGACAAGAAAAGTAGCAGACCCATTGCAGAAAACTTGATGAGGTAATGTCAGTATGGGTAGTCGACCAATTCTTTCCGTATTTAATTTAAGACAGACTGATGAGATTTGGCGCGAGCAATTAGGGGTTCGGATCGCATCACGCCGTTTTGCGATCCGGTTTTGAAGTTTAAAGGATTTTCTTTTTGATCTTGTGAGAAATTTTTATAAGGATGATTCCTATTAATTTTCCTAAAACATTGAGTTTCAGTGTGTCCTAATTTTTTACAAAATGTGCATTGAACTTTCTTTGAATAAAGAGATTTTTCATTATTTTGTGGGCAATTTCTTTTAATATGACCCGGTTCCTTGCAAAGAAAACAAATTATTCCTGATGCTCCAGTGATATATACTCTACTTTTAATTGGAGAATTTCGTAACGATTTATTTACATTACCTCTACTCATTTCTTTGTCTAAATCATATGCCTGGTTAATCAAATCACGAAGGTTTGTGTGTGATTTAGACAATAATACAGCTCTAACCATATGATTTCCTAATCCTCGTAAGAATGCACTATTTGCATCACGTCTAATCATATTAATTATGCCTTTCAACTCTTCACCTTCATATTTCTGATTGGCTCCCTCTAATCCCTCGGATAATACATTTTCAATTTTATTTCCAAACATTTCAACCGTCTCACCATTCTCTTGGACTAACATTTGCATTTTAGCTCTTATTTCTTCTACATCAAAATTACGTGCATAAATTTGTTTAAGTGTTCCTAATAATTTGCTTATACTATTTGGTTTTGGCATCTGTAACAAATAATTTGCAGCTTGTCCAATTATTTTATCCTCAATTAATGTAAAAAGTTGTCCTTGTTCAGATGGCTTAACTAATGGACAATAAGTTTCACAACGTTCAATAAATTTAGAAAGATTACGACTTGTACCGTCAAAATTTGGAATGTATCTATCTATACTTTTTAAAGCCAAATATGTTTCATTTTCAGATGAAATAGTATTTCCTGTATTATTACTCAACGGAATATTATTACTATTATAAGAAATATTCGGTGTACTGGCTTGAACAGGAATCATACTGAGAGACTGAGTTTGTATCAAGCCTACTTGAGTCTGAGGAGCTAGAGGTACCAATATATCTTCTACTTCAAAAGGTGAAATGCTAAATTTTAAATCGCGATTCTTCTTATGCCTCTTAAAACCTACTCTGTATGGCGGCATTTTGTTACACAAGCTAACTATTTAATTACAAAGCTACGACTCGACAATAACGCAATTAACAATAAGAACAAAAGGAAATATTCAATTTAAGCTGAAGGTACTTATTTATATATTAACTATTTCAGAGTAGTCCAGTTGATTCCAATCCTTGAGATGTGGATTTCCTCAGTTCTGGATACCAGGTCGCAGCAGTCCTTCCTCGATGATTCTGATGAAATCCAACGACAGCAGTGATGGACAGGATACGTAATGAACAGGATACGTGATGAACAGGATACGTGATGAACAGGATACGTGATGACAGGCGTGTGCATGTGGTAAAACAGGGATATCTGCACGGCCTCTGTTTCCACTCTCTCCGATATTCACCCTTGCTCTCAGGGAAACCGTGCGAAAACCCAAGAGGAAGAGATTGCAGCTACGCTTATCACAAGCCGGCCAGAAGGGATAATTTCTTCTTGTCGTTGTTGCTGGTGGTCCAATCCAATGACTTCCAAATCCAATGAATTTTAAGGAATCCCACTGATTTTAAGGGATCCCACCGCTGTCACCAATTTGTTGCGTGGCCGTTTTATAAAGATTTGTAATTGAGAATTTAGGCAGGGTTCGGGTCCCCGTGGAGCGCTGATACGCTCTTCTCGAGTTGACTTCAATAAATACTCGATAAATGAAATAAAACTCAGGAACTTGTATTTGAACTTGTTAACAAAATTATGAAATGAACAATAAACTTGAATTAACAATAAATTAAAGTTATTTGTGCTTTTCTGCTATTTAGAAAAGTACGTCCGAACAGTTTGAGTACTCGATTAAGAAGCAGTCAAAATGGCAATAAAATCCTCGTTGAACAAAAAGAACGTGTACCTTCAGCTTTTAACAAAATACAATTATTTAACATCCAATTAGGAATTAATAAATAGTTTTACTTTAATCTTATTGGGTCTAATCATTACGGGGAACGAGCGTTTTTAATACCTTGGCAATGTTTCCTCATGACAACCAAAAGTAAATATCAAATACGAGTAATTTCTAGTCATCAATGTTATCATTTTGACATTTAATCAATAATTAGTTATCTAATACCCTGATTCATTGCCTCAGTTACGCTGTTGTACAATTCATATTTGCCGCGCCTAATTTGAATCTGCGCCTACAGATGACAGTGTAGTTACATGTACTTATTCCTAAAATTCTGAACAGATGGCGCTTGATTCTAAATATTACCAGTTGCGAATACGCAACAACTGGTTACTTATCATAGATGGTGCTCTCATAAATTTACGTTTTTGTATATAGTATTATATATTCATTTAGCTTGATGAATACATATATTAAATAATTCTACGGATATAAATAAGCCCGTGGAACTGAAATAGAATTAATTAATTCAAATTTATAACTAGATGTAGTTTTCTAGAAGACCCTAGACTTCCCTAGTTTGGAATTGAAGATCATTTCAGCTGCGTCGGCTGCTTCGGGAAAATTCGGCAGTAGTGCGACCAATCAGGATCTCCCATAGTTCGCGATCAGTGCAGTTGATAAATGGAGGATTTGTGTTTGTCAAGGTAGTTTTGTTTACGCGTAAATTTTCATTCGGTATCAACTTCGCGCGCGTTTTGTGTGTGTCAAGAGGTAGATGAAGGTGCGTAACAGTATCCCTCAGGTTTCGTATTAAATTCGAAAGGTATGGAAATCCTCGAATTGGAGAAATGTATTGTAACGCGAACGCTTGTCGTACGAAACATACGAACTGTATAGAGAAGAACGATCGTTAAAAAACCGAAAAGTAGACGAACCATCACTTAAAATCTGCAGTAATAACTTCCCAATTTATTTTTATTGATCCTGTCGAAATAAAAAGCGAGGTTATCTTTATGATATCGAACAGTACTATAATATACATTTTTACTTCATAGGTTATGGATTCAGTTACAGTTACTTACAAAATTTAGTGTGCATCAGTAACAACAAAAAATTGAGTTATTGATGGTCTTTATACAGTATTCTTGTAACCTAAATTGAATGAATTAATTTTAGTTTTCATGTCAAAGATAGTTGCACAGTTTTTTATACAGGTTATACATTGCTTTATGAAGTGTAAATATTTTAAACTGTTTACTTTAAAAATATATACATACTTTATCATCAAAGTATTTAGTGTGACATCCTGTATTATTTAGAGCTATAATAAGTTGTTTCTATTGATATAGAATGGTTAATCTGTAATTAAATATCTAATGTTAGCTTTGAATAACTTATATTTTGATCGATTCTATTTTGTCATATCTATATTGTTTACTCTCTTCTACGATTCAATACATTTTATGACATGTTTCTGTATTCTATACTATTCAACACTCTTTATACATTATATAGGTTTTGTCATTCCTTATGACTCTTCACTTACAATATAATTTTGTAACTAATTCTTAAATATGAATATTGATTTGTTCTTTTCAAGGTGATTTTAAAAACCAATGTAAAATTAGAAGAAATAGAATTAAAACAATGTGCATTAATTCCTTGCAGAGGATTTCCATACAATATTATTAGAAAAGAAATGCATAAAAGTATAAATTTAGGATATACCCAATTTGTACTCGAATTTATTTGTAAAATGCTATTTTACTTTTGTCCTATTATTTACTTTTAGTAACATCATTCAATAAAAATATACTAAAGTACAATATTCATTTCCTTTAATAATGAATTCTTCTTTGTTTTTATGTTTTGTAAAAATATGTGTCTCACTTTAGTGCACCTTATATTTCATGAGCAACTGTGTGTATGACATTCAACATGAAATAGCTATGTTCTTTTCAATGTGAAACACAGTTATTTTGTTTTAACATAATGTAAAGAACATTGAGTTAGTGTGAAAATTTTGTTACTTTTAAATCATAATATGTGACAGATGTTTACAGATCTATGTGAATGACAGTATTAAAATTAGTTGTTATGTTTTATTGTTTACTACCAACAAGATTTTCATACTCACTTAATAATGTACATTGTTTATCGCTTTTTGTTATTGAGGGAGTATAATGTTTATAACAATAACATTATGATATTTTATTTATCAACTAATTTATTCTACCTCATTGTGCTAAAATATAAAATTATTCCTTGTTTAATTTTTGCATTCTTGTGTAATATTCAATAACTTCCTTTGTAGCATACCGTGGTGATATCCTAATTTTCTGAATCCCTCTGAATGCAATGAAGAATTTTCAACTCATCACATGAAGTCTGTGGTTTTTCGATATCAGTATATGTATCTTATCCAAAAATGTAATTTATTTTGTACAAAAGTTGTATTTAATGTATGTTTTGATACATGCTTGTTAATTTTCCATATAAATTTTTAATTTAGATTAATTTATACTGTAATTTAATAACTGATATTGTTATTAATACTTGGAAATTAATAAAAAGTTTTAATTAAGAAACACAAAAATATTCTGTTCATATTAGTTACATTATAAGAGAGGAGTTTGATGTGTTGCATTTTGAATATTAAAATCATATAGGCTTCGTATGATTATATAGCTAACTGTTTAAATTTTTTTAGGATTTAAGATGTCCCGCAATCACAAGGACAAGTATGAAAACTCTAACCCACGTCGTACTCACACTTTCATGTCCACGGAGGATGCAAACTCTGGGAAGAAATCTTATTGGCCGGAGTTGGAGATAACAGGCAGTATAAGAAATCTGAGCCCAAACTTATGGCAGTTAACACATTTGACAGCATTGTATCTCAATGATAATAGTTTGCAAAGGATACCACCTGAAATTGGTCGGCTGGTCAATCTGCGTGCTTTAGATCTCAGTAGCAACAAATTACGCAGTTTGCCAGCAGAACTGGGGGACCTCATCTACCTCAGGTATACTGTCCGTTCATATCTATTGTTTAATGCCATTATATAATTGTTTGGATTAATTGATTAAGATACAATAGTGATATTTTTTTTATCCTAAATCCTTTTTGTGTTTCAGAGAATTGTTATTGAATCAAAATTACCTTCGCGTGTTACCATACGAATTAGGAAAGTTGTTCCAGTTGAGAGTGCTTGGACTTCAGGGTAATCCACTCAGCAAGGAAGTAATGGCATTGTATGGGGAACCATCAGGAACTCATAAGCTGCTTTCATATATGCTGGACAACTTACAAGGTATGAAAGCATGATCTTTTTATGGTACTGACTTTATCAGTATTACAATTGGCAAGTGCCCCCGCCCCCTTGGCTACGCCCATGAACATTGTTAATCGTTTTAGTAATTGTGTAAGTTGGTTCCCCGTAAAAACGTGTTCGACTTCCGTGTTACGGAATCTGCATATGTTTGCATCATGACGATGCTTCCGCACATTCAACCATTCTAGTGAAAGAGTTTTTAAATTTAAAATCGATCATAACGTTGGAGCACTCTCCGTGTTTGCCTAATTTGTCGTCTTGTGACTCTTCTTTTTTATTTCTTCGAGTAAAAGGAATCCTGAAATAAGCGTATTTATAGTCAGTTTTTAAACTTCAAAGTAACGTAACGCTGATATTGGAATAAGTACCAGAACGTGAGGACTTAAAATGTTACGATTAGTGGATTCGACGATGGAATGCGTGTGTACAGTCTCGAAAGGGCTACTTTGAATGCGATGGCCTCACATCTGTTTAATTTTTAGTATAACAGTTTTGAATGAACTATTCTCGAAACTTTATTCTCATGCCTTATAGTGAGGTAGTAAGCTCCTTTATAAGTCGGGCTTACCGAAGGTCCCTTGGCCCAAGAACCGTTTTCAGTATTTCGAAAATATACAAAACTGTCCTTAAAGAAAAACTAATTTAATATGCTTCGCACAAGACTGGGTGAGGTGTCAGTTTCTTGACTGATACTCTTTGTTGATTGCCGAATCCAAATCACTTTTTATGACTTCGCTAGGTTTGCTACCTTAATGTATCTATGTACGGTAAATCCTCGATGAGTGTTCGAAGGCTCCTCGGCACTGACAAGGAGAGCTCTCTACGTGTAACGCTGACTTTTTAACGAGGTTTAGTACAGTGATAGATCATAGAATTCTGAAGTCAATGATGTTTGTTTCAGCCGCATATGGTCATTAGTTTATGAAATATTTAATGTTCAGCGCCGAGGAGCTTTCGAACACTCATCGAGGATTTACTGTATAGGTGCACAGTACTGGAAATATTTATTGTATTATCATCAAATTAATAAAATGACTCGAAACTAACTTATTTTGGCCAAGATAGCAAGCTACACATTTTTGCAATAAATATCTGTTTTAATTCATTTTCCTAGTATTAATAATAGGAAATGTATAAGTAGTAACTTATTCAATATTTGAATGATGCTATGAATATTTCTAGTACTGTACATTGAAATATATAATACTTTTACATTGAAGAAGTGCTTACATTCTTTTATTCTAAATTTTACTTTGAGAATTCTCAACGAGAGATTGTTGACTTACGTTTCTTGTTGCAAGGAGAATCAATCTATTTGAACAGATTCGTACACTTTCGACCAAAGTGAAAGAGATATTGTAAGCGAACAACTACCTACTAATAAACGGTAATGCGTGTGCTAAGGATGAGCGTGTTATTGAATTAGAGTGATCGCCGAGAGTCCAGGAATTTTATAAAGCTCGATGTAGCTTAGACAAGCAAGATTGGCTCATGAAGACCGTTTATCGGCTTCGAGGCACATTAGTGCCCACATAATTTCATTTCTTTTAACTGTGGGGGTCAAGTGGGTGTGCCGAGGCGCAGGCGTGCTGGGCGTACGGGTGGTTCGGCTGGGGAACGTGGCGGAATAGCAAAAGGGGTCCAGAAGGGAAGGCGTTCTTCTATCCATTGTGTACCATGATTTTTGCCAGTTACCCAATTGCTTGAAAGATCTCGGCTGTACCATTCCGTTGATCCATTGTTCTCTGAGTTTTACTGTTCGTCAGCGTGCCAGTCATTTCCTGCTATCCCGAAGGATATTCCCCTGCCATCGTTGCTCTTTACCTTCTGTTCGTTTCCCTTCGTGTCGGCGGATGTTCTTCGCATATCTCAAAACAAACTGAAAGGGCAAACTTGTTTCGGTCGTAATGAAATAAACATCGAACCTTGTACATACGTATATACATACTTTGAGAAGTCAGCGATAGTATCTGAAATATGCAAATTATTTAATTGTAGTTATAAAAACTACAGCAAATTTCGTTCATAAATGGCTGTTTATTTATAATGTTTGCACGTTCGTTTAACACTTAATGCGTATTTCTCTGTTTTCAACGGGCGAATTATCATAATTCGGTACATTTTTGGTTAAAGCTTCGACACAATGTCACATGCAGAATAGGTATTTAATATGTCTATTCTAGGCCGAAATAACACCAACATACTGTAAAACGGAAGTAATATGATAATGAATATTCAAATATTTAAGATAACAATTGAAGATTGTTTTTGAAAATACAACTGTTTTTGAGAAACGAAAAGGAGGGAACGAAACATTACTCCATATTTCCGTATTATTAAGGTGTAACCCAACAATAAACGTACAAATTTTGAATTAATTTACAGGATGTTAATAAAAATGTGGGACACTTTTACAGCGTGTATTCTATACCTCAAATTAAGTTGAAAATCAAAAATGATGAAATTACGTTCGAGGCTCCGTTTTCGGGTTATTAATTGTTGAAGATGCTGGAAAAATACGCGTGAAATACGTCATACGTGATAGCTTATACTACTTAAATAACCGATTTCTAGCTGTTATATGGGCTCGTTCGATCACCTAGTGAAACTAATGAATAGAAAATGTGAAACGAATGAAATCAACTAGTGAAATAGTTGGAGAACGCAGCTCTCAAGTAGAATAATCCGTTACGTCAAACGTATTTTCAATAGTTGACAACTCGGAAACGAAGCCTCGAATGTAATTTTGTCATTCTTGATTTTCATCTTAGTTTGACATGTATAGTAGAATCTACCCCGTTGAAGTGTCTCACATTTTGAAAATATCTCGTTAATTATTAGGTTTAGGACGTATGAAGATCAACACATTTGTACTCAGAATTTAATACTCTTATCGATCTATGGTACAAAAAACAGGTCATTCCGTTAAAAACTATCAAGGTGACCTTGGAATCTCTGAAATGCCTCCACCCACAAAAGAAGCACGTATCTTATAAGATTGACCCTTGATGTCATTTATGTTCCACGCCATACAATTTTCATAAAGTGTACCGTTAAGTCATTATTCGAGGTGATCAAGTTAGCTGAGACACCCTGTATATTTTCGGTAGAGTAGACCGCAGACCGTACTATTTACACTTAATAGCGTAGCGGACCTAATCGATTTCTCCGATTTTGGTAGCCATTCGTCTTCAATGCTTACCTCAATCTTCTTTGATTGTCGGCATACATAGTCAATCGAGGGAATAGATTCGAGGGGCTCCTTGTAAATTGGTTTGAACTTCCTCCTTCCGTAACCGTATAACTTCCTACGAAACGGTTATCGCAATGTCTACATTCGTTCCTCAATAGGAAATTCACGTCGACCGTTTAGTGTACGGTAGCTACGATGACGGAACTTCCGAGTTTGTACATTGTACACAATCGAGTCGTTACCTTTGCCAACATTAGCCCTTTTAATGGAAAGTGAATTGGATATGTTGGGATCAGGGTACTGTCACTAGTTCCGTTGCAACCGTTAGGCTCTTCTTGGATCGTGCAAGATTTTCCCTGATTGATATTTACTACACACTTAACCTTTATTAAAGAACCAGACGATTTAATTAATTATCATTACAGTTTGATATTAGCGAAGGGAAAACAAAAATATTTCAGCTGTACCAAGAATTAGACCTTAGATCGTCTGTTTACGAAGCTGCGACCGTCCGTTTTTTATTTGAAAGACCGTCTAAGATTTAGGAAGCTTAAATATACTCTTGAATGTCCTATCTGTGTGCTAAATGTTACCTTCAATTGATGATTGACACATCGAGGTTATCCCTCGTAAATCCAGTGACATCCTTCAATTCTCAGTTTTCATTAGATATCAGGATATGTTGATACGGCCTTGTGGTATAAACTTCAAAGAATCATAATATTCTTAAGATATAATTATACTCGATATTGGAACACCATTTTGAAAATGCTGATTTGCTAAAAAATTTAATCTGAATTACAATAATAGGAAATATTTTCGTAAAACTTTCGACCTCATTAATTGCTACAATAAGAAGGCACAAAGTTTAACTTCGTCACCAACTGCATATTACTATGTACATAGGGTAGACCGAGGCGAATCGGATCATTTTCTGTTCGATAGTAAAAATATAATAGTTAAAGTTTAGAAAGCTAATTACGTATTATAAATTCGTAATTAGTGCATATTTAACTTGAACATTAATAATAAAAGAATAAAGAAAAACTTAAAAATCTTTCTTTTGCAAACAAAAAACCAAAAAGTGAGAAATATCCGATTGGCTCCAACTTTTGGGGCGATTCGGATAATCCAGAAATCTCTGAAAAAACTCAAATCTTCATAAAAAATGTCTTTAAATTAATTTAAAAAAATATAATTTAATGATAATAGTTCGTTCTCAGAAAATCTATGATAATACTGTCCACGAAAACAAATGCCATTTCTCTTCTCTGGCCGGTACCGTTCGCATCTCTTTATTTCCCCGGCACCAGACGTCTGGCACATGTACACACGGAAGAGTCTCGTTGATGGGGCTCTCGAGTGGGGAAGTAGAAAGCAGAGAAACGCGCGTTCGTCACGAACAAATAAGAAAATGTTCGTTTCGGTGCTCGCTGAGAGAAAAGAAAACTGGATCTTGCGACGACAGGGCAAGTGAAAGGGGTCTCCTGGCCCGAAAATATATATACAGGGTGTCCCAAAATAGCTTTGACTCCTGGAAATGAGGGGTTCCTGAGATGATTTGAAACAACTTTTTCCTTAGCAAAAATATTATCCGAGATTTTGTTAACGAGATGTTAACGAAAAACCCGGACCAATCAGAGCGCGAGTCTGCTGGCCGAGCTCCCACAGTAACGTTAACTACCAATTGCAGCGCGTAGCCAACGTTACCGCGGGAGCCTTACTCGCGCTCTGATTGGTCGGGGTTTTTCGTTAATATCTCATTAACAAAGTCTCGGATAACATT